AGGTGTCCCCAAGGTGTCCCCAGGCTCTCACCGTGCCCGTGGTGGGAGTGGCCGTGACCCTCGTGGTGCTCGTGGGGGGCTGTGGGGACAGAAAAGGTTCTCAAAAATGTCCCAAAATTGTCCCCAAATGTCCCAAAATTGTCCGAAACTGTCCCCAAATTTGTCCCAGAGTGTCCCCAGGGTGTCCCAGTGTCCCCAAACCCCCTAAAACTGCCCCAAACCCCCTTAAAACCACTCCAAAAATCGCCCCAAACCTGCCCCGAAATTCCCCAAAATCGCCCCAAAATGTCCCCAAATCGCCCCAAAATTGTCCCCAAATCACCCAAAAATGTCCCCAAATTGTCCCAAATTTGTCCCCAAATGTCCCCAAGGTGTCCCAGTGTCCCCAAAGTGTCCCTAAACCCCTCCTAAAACCACCCCAAAACCCTCCCAAACCTGCCCCGAACTCCCCCAAACTGACCCAAAATCGCCCCAAAATGTCCCAAAATTGTCCCCAAATGTCCCAAAATCGCCCCCAAATGTCCCCAAATTGTCCCAGGGTGTCCCCAGGGTGTCCCAGTGTCCCCAAAGTGTCCCTAAACCCCCTAAAACCCCCCCAAAACCCTCCCAAACCTCCTAAAAATCACCCGAAAACTGCTCCCAACTTCCCCAAAATCGCCCCAAAATGTCCCAAACTGTCCCCAAATGTCCCCAAAATGTCCCAGAGTGTCCCCAGGGTGTCCCCAGGGTGTCCCAGTGTCCCCAAAGTGTCCCCAAACCCCCTAAAACCCCCCCCAAACCCTCCCAAACCTCCCAAAAATCACCCCAAACCTGCCCCGAAATTCCCCAAAATCGCCCCCAAATGTCTCAAAATCGCCCCAAAATTGTCCCCAAATGTCCCCAAATTGTCCCAGGGTCCTCAAGGTGTCCCCAAGGTGTCTCAGTGTCCCCAAAGTGTCCCCAAACCCCCTAAAACCGCCCCAAAACCCTCCCAAACCTCCTAAAAATCACCCCAAACCTGCCCCAAAATGTCCCAAAATCGCCCCAAAATGTCCCAAACTGTCCCAAAATTGTCCCCAAATTGTCCCCGCGGTGTCCCCGGGGTGTGACGCACCCAGGGCGTGGGGGATGAGGTGCAGGAAGGCGTCCCCCAGCAGCCCCCCCGCGGCGAAGCTGAGCAGGAGCCGCAGGAGCCCCCGGCGCCGGGGGGAGCCCGAATCCCCTGGGACCAACAGCAGGAGCAGGTGTGGGGCCAGGGAGACCCCCAGGGCTGCCCCCATGGTCTGGGAAAGGAACAAAAAATCAAAGTTTTGGGTCAAAAAATGAAAAATT